CAACCTGCAACTGGGAAGACCTTCCCTGCCTGTGGGAGGTCCATTTCTGGAAGGGGGGGGACACACATAAAATGCCCTGCAGCACCCACAAATGGCTTTTGTTCTCCTCTGCCTGTGTTGGAAAGGGGGTGCAGCAGGAGGGGAACCCAGCCCCACCGCTCAGGATCAGGCCGTAGGGGCGTGGAGTGGGCAGCAGAGCCCCCCACCCAGACAGACCCCTTCCTTCCAAGGCTCCTGGGTCACCGGGGACCATAACTTGACTCTCCACACGTCTATATTTAATAATATTAAATAATGTGAGCGTTATTTTATGGCATGGCATCTGCACTGAAAAAAAAACCCCACATCATTTGAGGAAGGCACGGCGGGTTATTGATACCTTCCACTCCCAATCTTTCACTTTCTCCTGCTAAAAATGAGTGAAACGTCTACTTTCACCCCAAAGCGGCACCTGGGGTGGGCTGGAGGCCAAGCAGCAGGTCCGTTCCCACCCACTGCTGGGTGGGGGGAGCTTCGGGGACCTCAGGAATGTGGTTGAACCGGGTGAGACCTGGGAGAGGACACAGAGGGTTCCCACAGGTGGGTCCAGCCCTGGCTGGGGGGGCTCTTGCTCAGCAGCCCCCACCCCAAGCTCAGCCACAGAGCAAGGACACCCCCTTCCACAGCCTTAGATCCCAAATAAGCTCTTACCGCCATCAACAGCCAATCACAAGGGGAAAAAAAGATTTATTTTTATGAGGATTTGGGTAATTTGTGTGTATCTCACGGCGAAGAGCTGGAGTTGGCAGGATTCGTCCTTCTGCGGAGGGTGGGGAGGGGTGGGCTAAAAAAACCACCCCATTCAACAGCCGCCTTTTTCACAGCTCCTTTTCAAAATTGGAATCCTTTTCAAAATTCGCATCTCACCCCTAAATACTCCAAAATAATTTAGGGAGGATAAAACAAGAAAAATAAGAAAAAAAAAAAGAACCGCTTGGCAGAACGTCCCTCCTCGATACCCAGCAACTTCCACCATCGCAGGGTTCTTCTGCTGGGAGCTCAGCTCAACTCAAGGGTTGTTTTGGATGTCTAAGGGCTTCCCGAGAAGCTGAAGGAGCTGCAGGAAAGTATAAAAGCTACTTCTGCCTCCAAAATATTACCAAAAACCAGCAACGGCCGCTGTGGCAGCCCTGGGGATGGTGGCTCTGCTGCAGCCCCAGCATCTCAGTGGCTTTTGCAGAAGAGCCGGTGGTTAGAACGAGATCTGAACGAGATGGCAAGTCCCTGGGAAGTAAAAGAAAAGGTTAATAAATCTTCTGCTGTAAGAAAGGAGTTTGGTGGGAAGAAGCCCGATGAGCTGAGAATTGCTAATTACTTGCTTTTCAGCAAATAATCCCTCCCTCAGGAGAGCCAGCGCCACTACGTGAGGATTAGGCAACGAAATGCCATATTGACAACATCAAACTATTAATTAGCCAAGCTCTCTCTCTGCAGATTGGCTACAAGAACCAGTCCATGAGCTGAGGAACAAGCTGAGTCTCTTTCTCAGGCTCTGCTCCCTTCCTGCCATCTGCCCACTAGGTGGGCAGGTCCTGCCTGGGCACAGCCAGGGCCACCAAACAGACCCATCCACCACGGACCCAGCGACACCGAGTTCCACACCCTCAAAGAGAACTAACTGCAGCTGCCAGAGCTTTAAGCAGCTACCAAAATAGGTGGAAATACCCATAAATATCTACCAAATAGCATAAATCAGGCATTTTAAAAGTTTTAGTGAGGAATGTGGGGTGGGTTTGCTTTTGATGCCCACCTTCTCCATGCCGTGCCAGCATCCTGCTGGCCCCTGTCCCCTCACTAGGGAGGATCGGGTGCTGAGGAATCATAGAATGGTTCTGGCTGGAAGAAACCTTGAAGATCATCTCATTCCACGTCCTACCACACCAGGTTGCTCCAAGCCCCCTCCAACCCCTCCAGGGATGGGGCAGCCACAGCTTCTCAAGGCAACCTGGGCCAGGCTCTCACCACCCTCACAGCAAAGAACTTCTTCCCAGTATCTTATCACAGTCTCTCCTCTTTTCGTTTAAAACTGTTCCCCTCATCTCATGGCTAGAAGAGCTCATGAGAAATGATCTGCAAGATCCAGGAGGTGGGGAATTGTCCATTTTTGGGGTGGTACAGGCTTCCCATCCTACCCAGGTTGGGCTCCAGGTCTACTTCTGGCCCATGAAGGAGTCCCACCATGTTTAGAAACACTGCTCTCTCAGGGGATCTCTTCACCCTGGGATTTTCTGCAAGGGCTGAGCTTTAGTAAACGGCCTCAATTACCGTAAGCGATTGCACAACCCCGTTGTGTAATAAAAGAACCACAAAAAATTTAAAAATTGCAAAAGTTAAGTGCTTTTTGGAAGCCGACCACAGAGTCGTGGCGAGCCGCCAGATTTGTTTTCCAAGGATCAAAGGGTGCTGAAGAGAAACATCTGAGCAGGCCACAGCCCACCACCAAAATCACTTCCCACTCACCCCTTGCAACCAGAGAGTCATCTCACCAACACCAAAAATCAACCGGTGCTTCTGCAGATGCCAGCTCAGCCCCAGCACCAGGCTTTGGAAGAGTAGACTTCTCTCTGGTCATTCCTCTTGCTCAGAGGTTTCAACCACCCCTTGGCCAAAGCCGGCAAGAAACGTTGCACGCAAACAACAGAATTGGCAATTAATTTTGGGCTGAAGGAGCAGCAGGGACAGGAGAACACACGCTGGTTTTAGTGGGTTTAGGCACAACAACTGACTTTTAAGACATCTCCATCTTCCATCCACTTCAAGCAAAATAAAGGAGGACTGAGCTGGTGGCATTAAAGGAGGGGGGCGATCAATGTTGATTAACTGAAGAAGGATCTTTATCACCTTTCTGTAGGTATCTGAGTAGCTTAATTAAACCTAGCGCCTTCAATCCACACCATTTGACCTGTGGCCACACCACACTTGGCTGTAACACAGGGATGACGTGAAATGGGTCCAAAATTCCTTACAAACTTTGGTGACTCTCAAAAGTAAACCTGGAATCACCAGGAGGACACATTTCCAGTGAGGCTTCAAAGAGGTTATGGTTATTTATCCTCACCTACTTCACCATCCCACCAAGACCCAGAAAACAGCAGAGCAGAGGTTTGAGAAGAACCATCAGGATCTACAAAAGCTGGGAGAGGAGAACATGCGTGACCATAGCACTCTACCAAGTGTGAGCAGAAACCACCCAGATACCAGTAAGACCACCGAGCACTCGGTGTGGGGAACTGGTGATGTGGGGCCAAAAGGGTTATGGTGAAGCTTAGGATGAACATGAAAGCCCTACTAGTAGAAATGCTACGTGGCCCAACTGCTCCTCCAGCATTTGTATTCCTCATAAAGATGACAAAAACCCCAAAACACTGAGAGGAACCACACCATTGGGTAAATATGAGTTAGAAAATGTCCTTTAGAGCAAGAGATTCAAAGTCATTGAAGAAGGAGTCCATCTGTTGGGTTCCTGGTGACTTAATTCTAGACTAGTGACCTAGAAGGTGCGCTTAAATTCAGGAATCAAGGGCACATTGATCTGACAAGCATCATTAACCAGATGGAAAGACTGGAGGCTGAAACAAGACCAGTTCAGCCTACAAAGATGAGGCAGCTTTTTAGGTGTAGAGAGCTCCCCAGGAGCTGCTGGAAGGGCACTGGAGCAGGGAGTGACACTGCAGACCCAGTCCAGCACCCTCCCACCACTATGGGCCACCTTCTAGCACAGCAGGTCATTCAGTCCTGCAATTACAACATCCACACCCCCAGGGAACAAAACCTGGCTCCTTATCTTCAGAAATAGAAAAGGATCATCAGGTCAGCACAGCATAGGGAGATAGGCAACTGCTGGGACTTCTGCATGACTTTAGACACTCCCACCACTATGGGCCACCTTCTAGCACAGGAGTCGTTCAATCCTGCAATTATAACATCCACACCCCCAGGGAACAAAATGCAGCTCCTTATCTTCAGAAATAGAATAGGATCATCAGGTCAGCACAGCACAGGGAGACAAACAACTGCTGGCACTTCTGCATGACTTTAGACAACTTGAGTGACCACACATGCTTCAACAGACCCAAAATGAGAAACTCGGAGGCACCTTTGCTTTGACTTTACAAGTTTCAAGGAGAAAACCTTGGAAAGGAGGTGAGGACAACCCTGCCTGCACTCAGCATCATGTCCTCTACGTCCAGTCTGGAGCCTGACACACCTAAGAGAGCTGCAGTGTTGGGACAACTCTTCCAAGAGGAGGCCACAGCAACTATGATGTCCCCAGTGGTGACAGAAAACAGGCACATCCCTTGGTCACAAAAGTCTGCCTTCGTTCAACTCTTGGTGGCCAACGAAGAAGAGTTCCTACAACATATGAAACCTCTTAAAAAAGCAGCATTCAATGCTTACGAGGCAAAGAAAACCAAACTCCACTCATTTTCTTGCTCTGGTCTTCTCATTTTTGGGAAACTCCTCAGTAACCCACACTACAAACTTAGATAAAACACCCCAAAAAGAAGGGTGAGATTCCAATCACATCCCAATCCCAGGCTACACCCAGGCCTCTAGCTCAGTACAATTATGTCCAAAACCCACAAAATAGTAACAAACTAAACACACAAAGGCCATTTCCACTACAAGTCAATTACTTGGTTTTTTTTTAATTCAAAGAAAAAAAAAAAAAGGTATTTTAATAAATACTGCAGAAACATTAACCAAACATACAAAGTGACTTCAACATTTAAAAAAAAAAAGTAATGAATGTCCTGTTTTAGAACAGTTATAACTTATTTTTTTTTCCACAATATTTAAATACAGAAAGCACTTACCAGCTATTTTGTAATACTGCCCTAAGCGCACTGTTGCATCAGTCAAAAGCTTATTTATGGTGGTAAAAATGTCTTTTTGTGGCAAATAA